TAACTGTGTTCAATTACTTAAAAAAATAAAGGTATTTTGGCTTAAGTCTTAAATGTTTCCTGTTTTTAAGTTACATGGGTTTTTTTGTTGGGTTTGGGTTTTGGTGGTTTTTTTTTCTTTTAGACTTCTCAAATGGTAAAAATAGTCTGAAAGCAAGAACTTTTAAAATGGATATCAAGTATAAAGGTGCATTAAGTATGGGTAACATGTTTTACAGGCCTGATTTATACTGTGAAAGCCAGTGCCATAGATGCCTTCCAAAACTTGATTTTAAATTGCAGTTATTACTTACTATGTAAGCCTTTAGCCCGAACTTGGCCTTTTCGGTAAGGACTTAGATATAGCCACTGATGAAAGTTACACGTTTAAGTTAAGCTACTACATAGAAATGTGAAACACGACTGAGCCAACACACACAAAGCTCCCTCGGCCTCTCCTGGCCCAAGCAGATCGAAGCGTTCCGGGAACTCCCAAGCCCTGCTCTACAAGAGCTGTGGCGAACTCCCCTCCTGCCACCACCGCCCTCCTGGCACAGGCGAACCCCTTTCTTGGAGCGTTGTGAGTGGGGTTTTGCTCTGCACCGGTGAACAAACACCAGCGTAATACAGGATAACCTTCTCCATGCAGGTTTTCCCCTCAGCACCGCCAGGGCTGCAGTAAAGCAGGTGCATTATATGGGGCAATCCAGCAGCCCCGCCCCTGCACGGAGCCATCGCTGCGCTCTGCTCGAACCTCCGCCCGCGCGACACGCTGGGGGATTTCAAGGGAATCACTCCCTCAAAACCAGAGTCTTTACCTGTTTGATCTGTGGAGTGAACGAACATTCCCTTTCCCCAGGGAAAGGGGGAGGGATCGGCACCCACAAGGAGCCTGGGCAGGACCCGCCTCATGAGGCGGGAGCGCCGCCATCACCGCGGCCTCAGCAGCGCCCCCAGGGCCGGCCCCGCTCCTTCTCCTCCCCGCTCCTTCTCCTCTGTAAATCCCTCCCAACGCTCCAAGGAAACAAGAGCTCATCTTCCTCCACAGTATTCTCTTTTGAGTACCCCAGGTGCTTTGCTTCTTTAGGTGCAATTTGTTGTTTCTCTTAATTTTCTTTGGAGGTTTGGCTCTCTGATTCATTTGTATGCCATCGTTGCGCGCTGGCCATAAAAAAAACACTGCCAAGTGTTATGAGGGAAAACAAAGCACAGCTGCAGACTGGGACAGACAATAAGGAAGGTGAACCAAGCAGGTGTGGGCTCCCACAAATCGGGGCAGCTCTGGGATATGAGATCACCAGCCTTGTGTGTGCCTTTGGAGATGGGCAGGAAGAATTTGTAATCCCAGGACTGAGGAACATCAGGAACTAAAGAAGCCATTTCACAACGTGAGGTACTCCATGAGAAAGGGGATGTAAAAAATCAGCCATCTGCAGGTACATGAAGCTTCTGAATGTCTTGAAATAAGTGTATATTTAGTGTTGGAAGAGCATGAGAAACAGTCGATTTGCACCTTGATCAAAAGAACACATTTCTTAATAGGAAACAGAGCCTGTCATGAAAAAATTGGAAGGTTCTCCCAGGGAACTATGCCTATGACTGTTATTTAAACCACATTTTGTGAAAAAAAAAATGTTTTGTAAAAAGAAATGTTTTGTATTTGCTGTAGCTTATGGGCACTTTCGAGTAGATTGTACCAGTAAGACTATAAAACCCTGACAGTAATTAGTAAATAAAACCAGAAACACTGCCACTAAAGGTGGTTGCATAAAATAAAGCGAAAACAGCATGAGATCACAAATAGATGCATAGGGGATCACCCCATGGAATAAGGAGCAAGTTTGCCACTAAGGTTGCCTGGCTGAGGACAATATCCAACAGCCAGTGGGAAAGGCCAGCAAGAAGAAACAAGAGAAAAATGTTACCCACTGTAAAAAAAAGTAATACCAAAGCCAAAGTAAGTCTTCTGGTTTGGGTGAGGGCTCTTTCAGAAATGTCCAAGCCAAGCCTACTCGTTGTACCTATAAGGATACAGGAAAGTAAAACTCAAAGGTGTGTGTATGGACACATCACTGCCTGGGCATCTGTGTGGCATCTGGAGCTCTCTCAGTGGCCTGGGCTACAATAAAACATGCAGTCCCTCTCTGATTTCAGGAATAGTTTCCACAAAGTCTTTCTTTGCATTTGAATTTCACCCTTACGTTCTGGCAAGCTAAGCAGAGACATAACTCTGTGACTAATGCTAATGTTGCAGTAGTAAAATATTAGGCAAAAGATGGGAAAACCAGACCCACTTGCCCAAAAGAATGATTTAATTGAAGTTTTCACTGTTCCAAAATAGGTATGTTTCACATCATAAAGAATTCTTCTGTCATAAAAACTATTTTTTTAAGGGGAGGGAAATTTTTCTTTGGAGCAAGCTGACTTTATTGGTAAGCAATTAAATATTTCTTTGGATTGCTGTTCAAAATTAATTACTCATTAATGTGGAAAAAGCAGCTATAGTCTTGCTGTGGATTCAGAGGTTTCCAACCGGGTGCATCTAATTCCAATAAGAAAAAAAAACCCTAGAAAGAGTATTATAATTACTGTCATATGAAAACCTGCTTCAGTCCAGATGTAGAAGCCGATACCACAAGTGTTAACATAGAGCAGTCTGCTGCAGGGGAATGACAGATGAATCCTACATATGTTTGCAAAAAGGACATATTACATGATCCTTCTAGAATCTCTTGGGTTTGTTTTCCTTTTTCCAAAGCTCCTACAGAAAATGCAAATCCACAATAAGGTTTTGGACAGTGTCACAGACACCTCTGTATAAATTCGGATGAAAACTTGTATACTTAACTAACACTGTCCACTCTGCACCCTCATAAGTAATTCCACTGAAGTAATGAAGTTAGTGGTGTGAGTAGACATTAAGGAACTGGCTCCTAATTCCAGGTTTTCCCCTTCAGGGAACAAACAAGAGCTTGTGGCTCTGTGATGACCCAGGGACCCGCAGTGAGGACAGAGGATTGCCAGAAGTGTCAGGTGTTAGGACTCGCATCTACAGAAGTTCTGATCTGTGCAGCAAGGGAGTGAGTCCTCAGAAATCTGAAAATTATAACGGTGACAAGTGCTATATGTAGATTTCCTACTGCAACCAGTAGCAGCTTGCATGCAGAAAGATTTCAGAAGCAGGCATCCTTTCCTTTTCCTTCCCAAGTTTTATTAATTTGACCAAAGACTATGTGGCTTCAGCCTTAACAAAAAACAATAAAATTCTGGTATGATTTAGGCTGGAACAACCTCTGAGTGACTTGACTAATCCAAATCATTCCATTTCAATCCAAATTGATTTCATTATCCTTAAGTCATTTATTTAAATAAATGGAGTCAGAAGAGATCAGAGAGTTTAATTATTGGAAACACTGGTTGGCACTAAGTCTGGAATTAAAATTATTCACTTTGAAGTCCTTAAATGCACAGTATGACAATACCAGTTGTCAAGGAACACTTTTTCCTTGGTTAAAAAGGACAAGCTGAGCACAAAATGGAAGAATGAAACCTTGAATAATCCACATAAGATAATTCATCCTGTCAGCTGCAGAGTTACCCACTTTAATTCTCTTACCAAATCCTTTACTTTCCCATGCAGGGATAGGTGCAAGAACTCAGGGACTAATTTCCTAAAATGTGGAAGTCTGAAATTACACCAAAATTTGACTGATGATATGATTATGCATATTAAACAGGATTGGCCTCACTTCAATGCTGTAGGAAAACCAGCTGTGACTATTAAGACTTTAGTCTGGGCTAGAAGTCCATCCTTTCCCTGCAGAAGACAACCAGGCTGCTCAGACATCCTTCCCCCCTGCCCCTGCTTCCCCTCGTCCTTCAGGTGTAGGGAAGTACCAAGGTTTGGCACTGGTTTTACAGCTACTTTGCCACAGCCAACATGACGTTCTAAAACCAAGTCATATCCCCCCTCAGCTTTCTCCTCCCCAAACTGAAGACTGTTTTTAGACTCCCCTGGTAATCAACTCCTCCACCTCCTTGTTCAGTTTAGTTGCCAGTTTCACTGGCTCTTCCTTTAACTTGCTACATCCCTCTGGAGATTCCCACTCATTCTGCAGCAGTGCAGTGAGAGAGACCCTCCTGGAGTGCCATCCCATCCTTCCAACAGGCAAAGTAGAACCTTCTGGTTCATCCCCAACAGTTCAGAAAGATGGAGGAAAAGGAAAATAAGGAGTTTGGGTTGGCAATCTGGAAGCAGTCACTGGCCCAGTAAAACAGAGAGCAAACAGTGCTGTATATGCAGTGTATCTACAATCACTGTGCAACAATCAGTGGAATGGGCTGGACTCCACCTTGCTTTGAGATTTAAGGAGTAATACAACACTGAATATGACTTTAGAAAAATATCTGGGAAGGAGACTGTTCAACTAATCATACTGTACATTATTATTTTCTTAAATCATTATATTATAAAAAACAAACCATCTGCAGAGGAACCTGCTTTGTGGGCGCTGCTGGTATTTCTATTTGCAGATTATTTTATTTTGAAAAGTATCCAGATTTTCCCAAGCAGACAGCAGTTTTAAGAGCAGGTTTGGGACACTGCTGGGAGCAAAGATCCTGTTGTAAATCTACTACATAACAAGTTGTACATCAGATTCTTTGCTATGGATTAATTCATTTTTCTGTTTTTCCTCTGGGCAGTTCTAAATTTGCCACTTTCACTTCAGCCCCAAAACGCTGTGTGCTGCAAAGCATTCCAGCAGATCATCTACTACATTAAACAAAAAGATAAATGTTCAGCTTAGTATAGTTTCTTTACTTCTTGCATTGAGCAAGGGATTATTAATACAAGTAGCAGAAAAGTCTGTTTATTTTACTGTGCTCACCTCTACAGCAGCAGACAGACATTATAGAAGAAAAATACTGAGGCCTAAATCTCTCTCCAGACAAGTTTTTTACACAGAGCTGTTCAGGGCAACATCTGACATTTGACTAGAAAAAAATACATGCACACACACATCAAACTGTAACAACAATTTAATGTATCATTTTAATTATACAAAAGTCCCACCCTAATTATTCAAACATTAACAACTGATGCACTTAGTACAAAACCAACTCCTCTAGGCAAAACAGCAGAGGAATGTTTAATTAATTCATTTTTAATTAAAGGTCATCGCTGAAAATCATAGTATGTATGGATTTGAGTAATTATTATTCTAAATGGTGTTCTGTCCCAGTTTCCTGGGCAATATCTCCACACCTTTGATACACCACAGTGCTCTCCCAATCCACATGGATAAAGCTGTCTACAGGAGCCCTTCAGGAACAAACAGCACTGCTTAGGTTTCAGCTGTCACAAGTTCAACAACATTGAAATCATGTATAAATCATCAAGGACATTCAAAATGTCAGATGTGAAGCCTGTGTGACAAGAGGTGATTCCAAATCGAGTCTGTCCCCAGCCTGAACACCTTAAAGGCAGTCCACCCATAAAACAGCGTGGGGGCACCAGGCCTTTCCACACATTCTTGCCATGCCTTTCTGGACCAGCACCTACTGTTCCCTTACCCTGCTGAATCCAGTCAATCATCTTCTTAGGCAGCCAAGTTCATCAGCAAGGCAGGCTGCCTTCCCATCCTCTTTCCCTCAGTCCTCAGGCTCCACATCACTTAACTCTTCCATAACATTCATAACCAGATTTCCTTTAAAGCAAAGAGATACAAACAACACCTTTTTGACTACTGTCATGAACATGAAAATGCTGCAGAATGCACACAGCTCTGAGACCTCACTCCAAGGTCAGAGAGCCATGTAACCTCAGCAAAGGAACAAATTCAGAGTCATAATCATTTGCTGCTTCCACTGGAAAACCTATTCTAGGAACATGGGCTTTACAGTGCTCAGGAGGCAGAGCTGTGAGCCTGGTAGCTCTAACATGATCATAAAGACAGGCAGGGGACTAAGCCCCTTCTGGCATCTAGTGTTGTGTTCAGCTGCTCGGTGACTAAGTGTCACTCAACCCTCATTAACTAACACTCTCCTCAGAAAGGAAAATAGTGCTGCCTGCTCTCAGCTCTTCTCCAGCCCATTTACTGTTTAGAGTGTACAAGTTGGTCTCTGCTTGTTTCTTCTGGGGAAGAAGGTGGTTGTCCAGGTTCATGAAACACCCTTGAATCCTCACTGTCAACTTCAGTAGCTAAAATGAAGAACAGAAAAATGTCAGAGTTAAACACAGACAAGCCAAACCCCCAAACCCTGTGTTTCAGTTCTCTTTACACCTGGTACCAATCACATTTCCACATTTGAAGCTGCACTGGAATGGAAGTATGAGGTAGATGCTTTTACCCACATACCCACAGTGAACCTATGCCATGCCTTTTTAACACTCCTGTGAATTCTCAAGGACCTGGACCGACCAATTAATAAACCCTTCTTCAAATCCAACAAGGGATTTTCATTTTATGAAGTATTTCCTTGCCAATTTGCATGAAAAGCTCCCTCATTTCCTCACAGGCAAGGTGGTTTGTTTTTTTTCTGTGGCTTGCTCTTTTAGAAAGGCAACAATCTGCAAGCAGAGTCTACCCTCAAAAGCTGTACTGTCTGTTCTACTGGACATACCTTGTGTTTAATTTGTCAAATCTCCATAACACTACTAGTTCATACTGCATGAAATTAAGTAACAACATGGCCTATACTTCACATCACCAGTGTAAACCAAACTGGCCTCACACTGACTCAAATCTTTCTGGTAACACATACTAGTCTAAGAACACCTTTCTCACGTAGGACTTGGGTTTATTTGTCTTCATCTCAGATTTCCTTTGGGGCAGAGATCACAAATACCTTTCCTCACCATTTGTCCCCTGCTAGAGTTTTTATATCCATTTTCCTGCAACAGTTTTACCAGGAAGCCCATTTCACCTCAGTTCTGAGGTCTCCGGGGGAAGGATATTCCCAAGTCTAACTGCAGGTTGGAGTCAATTTGGTTTTGGGAGAAAAAAGACATTATGCAATCCTAACACATCCCTATGCACTACATGTTACAGCTTTTCTCTTTTTTCAAGCATCTTGAATTCCAGAATCAAAGGATTTATTAGTTTCACTCTTCCCTCTGCATCTTCATTTTCTGCTGCCAGGCTGTTTTGTATGACCTCATGCAGAATTATCCCCCTCACTGGGTTACAACTGCAAATTCCTACATACCCTGGAGCACAAATGCAATGCAGTAGAATTAATTTCTACTTTCTCCATAGTACTAAGAAAATTGAATTGTTCTCTGAGCAGCACAGTCCATGATGCATTGTTTCCTATGGCTTTGTGCCTGGGCTGAGGTCATTAGATGGCATTTTGCTCTCAAGGGGAGGCTGCTCTCTTGGTGTCTCTATCCTGTTTTCATCATTTTTGGCCAGTGCAATTTCACTCTACCAGTACAGGGCTGGATCTCTTGTTCCCCTCACGCAATACTATGACTTCACTCCATGTCTGCCATGTTTCTGTGCTACTCCCAGTTCCTTCCCATTCCCATGAAGTCCAACAGAAAAAGCTGCAGCTCCCTACACGTTCTCTGCCACTGCAGCATTCCCCAGATCTCCAATCACAAAACCCATTAATCCCTACATACACTTTCTGGTTCATGTGCTAGTGCTTGTTTTCCTCTGTTCTCTTCTAACTCAGGAGAGAAATAAAGTTGTATTTATTTATCTGTATTTCCAAAAATTTAAATAAAAAAAATAAAATAAAAAATAAATTTAAAATAAAACTGGATATTTGCTCATCCAGTACTAGTGCTAATTCTCTGAGCAGCTCTACCCTCTTGTGGTCACAGCTTGCTGCAGCCAAATGAAAAACTTGTGAATATAATCACAAATATGTCCACATGTAGGCACAATATATGAAACAGACACAAAGTAGAGGGGCACAAAGACTTAATCTATGCCAGAAATTAAAATTCTTGAGAGAATCAACTCAAGATTTTGAAGATTAAATCTTTCTTTTGCAGCAATTAAAAAGTAGGATTTTCAGATGAGCAAGAAATTTCATATTATTCATGATAAGGATTAGTCCACATTATTTTTTAACAACTTATCTAAATTGCAACAGAGCCAAATAATTTCTAAAATATGCCCTGCAAACTAGCTATGTAGAAAATATTTTCATTTTGAGAACATCAGCAGATCATTTTCTGAATAGCTCTGAGTCCTGCAGCCTTCACTGTCTGCCTGAGACTGACATGCTTTATCAGCTAGAAAGCCCAAGCATGCCAGGCTGCTTCCCTTAGGTCAGCCCCTCCCAGAGCTGTGCCAGCTGGCAATCTGTCCCAGGACTTCAGGACTTCAGTCCTGGCTCCAGCTCAGGACTCTGGGAACCCCTCACAAACTAGCTGGGATCAGGGTCTCTTGGGGTTTCCATCTCTGTGGTTAGATACTGAGACCAGGTTAATGGTGGATCTCCCAGGACCCATCTTATACTTCCTTACCATGTGCTTCCTTGGATGTTTCAGCCAAGATGTTCAGTGAAACAGCAGTTGGAATGTAATGAATCCCTGTCAGAAAACTTGGTGGGATGAACGGAGGCAGAGGAGTGTAGTATCCTTGATGGAAATCTCCACCTCCATCTGGAACCTGTGGAAACACATGAAGCAAATCATCTTCCATCTAAAGACTCTCTCCAGGATACATCTCCAGTATCAAACAAATATGTTTCAATTTTTATCTGTATTACATTTTTTTATCCATATGGTGCCACGTCCACACACGTATTGACAGGTGCAAAGCCTGTGCACAGTGTAACATGCTGGAACTGGGAAGCAGCAGCTTCTCAGACCATGTTTCAGCAAAACTGGCCTAAGTGCTCATCACCTGTTCTGGATCTCATTGGAGCAGCTGGTTTAAACCAGGAGCAGCCACGCTCTTTCTCTGTGGTTGGTCGTGGTACCCTGGCCAAGCCCTGATGCTTTTCCTACCCATTAGATTTGTCCTGCATGGAAAAAGAGAAATCTCCCAATGCATATCTGTGCCATCTACACTGGCACAACATGACCAGGTGCAAGTGTCCAACTGCCATCATTCCAAAAGGCTGCTGCAGAATTTAGCAGGATATAAATGCCCCAAAACGCTTCACAAATTCTGCCCACTTGGAAGTGTATGGGTTTGCTGTTGTGGGTTCAGGTCAGACCATTGACATCACCCTTTGCTGTTGTTTTTTTCAACGTAATATATCAAAATGCTGTGAAGTAACTGGTAAACTTGATGACTTTTCATGGGTACTTCAACAGAAAGGCAGCTAAAAGTAAAGGCAGCAGTATTAACAGAGATAATTAAAAGCCAGCTACTTACTGATACAGAAGCTGCATTCCCTGGCCCATAGTTGCTAGGAATGTGTCGGAAACCTCTCTGAAGTGGTATCCCTGGAGGTGGTGCTTCCCCACTGCTGGACTCACTGATGGCAAATCCCATGGGAAATGGGTGGTAAGGATACACCCCAGAACAGCCAGGGTACACTTTCGAGGCCTCTCTCTCCAGGTATTCTGGGTTGACAGTGTATTCTGGAGGAAAAGCCCGGTGAACTAGGAAACAATGAGAAAAGAACAAATAAAAATATCCATGTAATTCTGTGGAGTTCTGTAAAAGTAGCCACAGGGACAAATTCCACTCTCAGACAGGAGAATCTGGTCCTTTGGTTTCCTGCTTAGCTCCTCGTGAATTTATTTTGTGATTTTTTTGGAACTAAGGCAAGGTACAGCAGATGACACTTGTAACGCAGTTATTTTGCGTTCTTTTCTGCCTTGGGCACTGTGAAGCTTGTCCTCAGCTGTAAATCTCTTTCAGAACATCAGCAACAGCCAAACAACCTACCTTAGGACTTTTAACTCTAGCAGTACTTAAAACAAAATTGCACAGAAATAACACGAGCTCTAACTTTAGAGTTCTAATAATAGAGTCCTATCTGTCACTTCTTAAGTTAATTTACAGACAGGCTCAGTTTTAGGGTCACACATAGGCAACTTCAGATGCAGAAAGCAGTTATTTCAGTTTTTATCTTGCATCTTCAATCTTACATGACCTCTCTGAAGTCTTAAAAAAAAGAGAGTGGTTATTTGAATATGAAAAGGGTCTCTCTTGTCTGCCCATCTTCTTCCTGTTTGTGGAGAAGGTGAAGAATTTACATCAGAGTAGGATGACTTCTGGAATACTACAATTACATTATTTGTGCCTAACCTTTTCTGAAGTTGGTCAGGCTGTTAAAAATGTTATTAAGGGAAGGACTGACAGGCAACTGTACAGCTGGCATCATCCATAAACAAAATTTTCTTTGGAAACAAAACTAAAAAAAGGAAGTTATTGACAGTAATCTGTGGAGATTAGAGACGTCTGAAACAAGTCTTTCCTCTGGGCTTCTCAGAACAACATTTTGTCTTGCAGTCTGCTAGCTCTCTGGAGCTCAGACTAATGACTTGCAGTTAGCAATGACTTCTGTAAAATTATTAAATAGTAATAGAATGCAATTACTATAATAAATAGTAAGTCACATGAAAGACTGTTAAAGGAAGCAATTTAAGAGGTGACAGACCACACAACTGCTCCACCTGCAAAATCTAGGCCCTCCTCTAAAATACTAAAGGCACTTTTACACCAAGTCATGCCAGCCAAGTTTAGTTTTTGCTACAGGAATTAAGGCCAAAAGGTCTCTTTATTTTACAGGGCTATCATAAAATCCTTGCTTCAGACACTGCAGCAGTACCTTCCCCATTTACCTGCCATCGCTGAGTTTTTTGCTGCTGGAGGCTTGTGCCCGTGAATTTAGAAACAGTGAACCAGCACTGGGAGAAATATGCAAAGCAGATCCCAGTTTGTTCGCCCTCCCACGCTAACTTCCCTCTCAAAGAGAAAAGCCACTTGCTCAGGGTTCAGCCTCGCAAGGAGCGGCGAGGCCGAGCACGCTGCTCCTGCCCCGCGCTGCGAAGGGAACGTCAGCGCGGGCCGGGCATTCCACATGCGGGCTGGGCACGCTGAGGAAGGAAAGCGGGACAGACAGCAGGAATGGCTCTCGGGGTGGGGGGCAGAGCCTGAGGAACCAGCAGGTGCGAACTGCACAAGCGGCAGGGTTTGATAAAGGGAAAGAGGAGGATGAACACACAGGATGCTGCTGGACAGGAGAAGCGGCTCTGGGGCCAGGTCCTTACCGAGGTCCCTGAAGGGAGGCGGCGGTGGCCCCCAGGACACCGCGCCTTTG